TAATTGTGTGTATTAGAAGTATAAATCACTGATACATGATGCCCACTGGTGGTTTTTCCTCTGATCTTTCTGTGGTGTTTAATATTTGTCTACAGCTAAAGTACAGTATCTTAACAGTATGTGAGGAAATGTCTTTAAGAATTTTTTGTGGTATTACATTTGTATTTAACAATAAATAAGAACATGTCAATTCTACTACAACTCCTAATACACCACTCCTCTCTGACATTTAAGAATAGAAATGTAGTTTAAAAAAGTCACAACAAACTTTATTGGAAGCAAATTTATTAAATTCATGCTGTTAAACAGACAAAAACAATTTACACTGTTTAGCAAGTGAAGGTAACCACAAAATTCCCTAATCAGACACAAATATCACAGGTTTTTTTACAAATTTTAAACGATCATGGTGAAAATTATTATATCACAACTAAAATAGCCAAGATACTACAGTACCCAAAAGATATGAAATGTTTTTTTTTTACATTCGGTAATTTTAAGGTAGCTGTGAAGAAATCACTCAAGAAAATAGTGATGAGCTCATAAATATGCTTTTCATTTACAGGATCTTTCACCAGTTTATTCTTGCCTTGTTTCAGTGATTGACTTACAAGTATGTTACATACATCTGCAATAGGATAAAGTTCAGTTCTTCTCAGAATTGTTCATGTTAAATAATTAGTGATGTAACTGTTTCTGTTGTGGATTTTGTTGTTGGAGCTTGATTCTCTAGGTGAGAGCCTAGTTTCTTTTATTTATTTTTTTACCATACCAGCTTAGTGTCGAATATCCGCGGAGGAGGTATAACGCCGCTTTTCTTTTTAAATACTTAAGTGGCGGACGTTAAGGGCCGGTCAAGACAGAAATTATTCTCCGATGGGGGAGGGGGAATGATGCGCCTGAGATATGGAGCTCTAGGCGTGGTTCTGCGAACAACATCAAGGCACAAAATATAAGTCTCTCAATTACTTTAAGCGGTGCTGATGAGAGAAAATGCATTTTCACAGGGACGTCAGGGACGAATTAGAGACCTGTAATTGCTGGCGTCTTGGGCCCTCTAGTGGTGACCAGCGGTATCGCATTAAGAAAATACATTTTTCTCCAGTCACACTCGATATCTTGGAATAGAAATTAAAACCCTTTTTACCCCATAGTTCTGGTCAGCTTTTCACTAACAATGACTAGAAATGACAGTTATCATTATTTTTCGTTTACCACTATTGTTTCTCTGTTGTTCCTCTTCTCCAGATTGTTTGTCTTTGTGTTCATCCAGAAATGCTCTATTTCGTTTCCTAGTCTTAACACATGATGAAGTCCAGCAACGGCAACTGGTTGACAGTGGCTGAGAGGAGTGATTAATGTGAAGCTGGGATCTCGTCTGGGGCTATTTTTTAGTGATAATGACAGGCAAAGTGCCTGGTGTAAAAGCAGTGATGAAGATGACATCACCTCAGCCGGGTCACACTGGATGAGCTCTATTAAACAGTGTCATCTGACAGAGACTGAGAGTCTCAAGGTGGTGGGACAAGCTGAGCAGACTTTAGCTCATCCTCAGTGTTTACACAAGTGTGCTGGAATTACCTCTGTGAGAGATCAGAGAGTCGCTGTCTTCACTCTCCTGTGTGGGGAATCTCACAATGAATTAATTCATTAATTCATAACAATGATATAAAAGTATCACTGACAAATGTATATTTCCAGAAGAGAAATTGACTGTCCTCATTTTCTCAGTGCCTCAGAAGGCCTTTGGGCTTGTCTCATGATTTCTTTGAGTGATGGTAACTTATTGATAATGATCTCATCCATATATTTCTTGGAGCTTATTTCATATCTTCAGTAGCAGATACAAGTATTCATCCCATCTGCCAATAACCCTAATGAGGGTGGGACTAGATAGGAGGTCCTGAAACAGGCTCCTGATGTCAGGCACCACAATGCCAGTGTGTACGTTTAAATATGGACCTGCTTTTAATTTTCAAGTTGACATTAAATTTAAATTTGAAATTTAAAGTCTAGTACGCTTAATTATGAACACTTTCATTATGTCCACTCAAGGGTGTTCTACAAGTAAATGCATTTTCTGGTGTCTGTGACCTCAGCCTTTCATCTTGATGTGAAGGGTAATGATTCACAAGTAGTGTTTTAAAACAAGGAAATATTTTGGTTAATGTCCACCTGTTGAATGTGCAATCATTGAATAATGTTCAAACCAACATGACATCAGTGACAATAATCAAGGAGACTGATTGCAATAAAGAAAAGACATTGTTTATTAGGTGCATGTACCATACAAACAACAGGAAGAAATAAATCATAAAGTACAATATAATCAATCACTTTACATTTAATAAAAGTGATTGTTTTAAAATTTGTTTTTGAAAGAAACATCACATTTAGACTTCAAATAAAGATCTAAATGGGTTATTTATATACATGTTTTCAATCATTTTATCAAAATCTTTAAAGATATCATTGAAAAGACAATTGTGATGAGAAACAGGTAAAGGTGCTTGTGAATGTAGAATATTTACCAAGAAACCACCAAATGCTATATGATCACATAATCAATCACTTAAAATGATAACAATAGACTGAATACCAAAATGAATAAGTCACATGATCAGGAAAGGTCATCAGTAAAAGTCAAATGCCCTGATCAACCTTGACAGTACTCAGGGTCTCTTCTTTCACCCCTTGCGTTATGTCTTTTTATTAATTACTGAGAAATCTAAATGCCCACACTTCATCTTTTATTTTTTGGTACATCTGAGCTGTGAGGGACTGGCATGATGTCCAGAGTCTATCACAGATGAACATCACCTTGAAAAGTACAGTATGTCAGTATGTCGCCCCTGATTAACTAACATTTTCTTATAACCCAGAAGATGTTTATTTATTTTAGGAGACTGAAACCAAAATAGATGTTTAGTTCCATATATTATGCAAATATCTGAAGATCACTGGTGTTTTCTACAGGAGATACAGTTAGTAAAACAGTAGGAAAAAGACTTTGCTGAGTTTGGTAAAGAACTTCAAGCGTACAACACAGAACGAATGGGCAAACAGAGTATCCCCAATCTTGTACTGCACACCCTGAAGTCTCCAGTTTCTGAAAAACTGGAAACATTAAATACTAATTGATCAAATGTCAAAGTAATTTCTTTAACTAAGGAAACTGTGGTCTTTGGGGCCTGAAGGGTTTTCAGATTTTTGTTTCATGGGATCTCTAAATTGGCCATCATCTTGGTGATGGTGAGTATTGTCTCACAGCTCCTGCGGCATTGGGTCAATTCTGGCCTACAGTGCCTTCCGTGTGGAGTTTGCATGTTCACCCTTTGGCCATTGTTGTTTTTTCCCACAGTCCAATGAAACACAGTATTAATTGACATTTCAGTATTTCATCCTGTGTGTGTCCTGTGATGGACTGGCATCCCGTCCAGGGTGAGTCCAGCCCTGTGTTAGTGACTCCTGGTTTATGCTCAATGCCTCTTACAGGACTGCATGGTTGGGAGGATGATGTCTAAATCACTTAAATTAAAAAACAACCTGCTTAACTGATATTAGTCTTTAGAAATGACTGAATTCCAGGTTACCTACTGTATAAACCCTGCTAGATCATGAATCTCCAGGACCAGATTAGAATACCTCTTGCTTTATTGCCTCAGTTGTTGCAGACTTAAAAAGAAAAACAGCAAATCAATCTGATCATGAGGCTGTTGGTGGTCCAACAGGTCAGCTCGAGGGAACCCAGAGATATTCCTGATTCACAGGGTCTCAAGAGACACAGAGGCTCCAGGTTTCACCTCGTTCTTGTCTCAGGCTCCTGACTGACCTCATTACTCATCAGTCCCATCACATGTAAAAGTACTGTGTAAATGTGTGTGCAGTTAGTGATCTGGAAATCAGAACTTAGAACTAATTTGGCTTACAGGTAAAGCAATGAAAAGGATGCACTATTGCCTATATAATAATAGTATATTGCAAATATACTATTCACCTTAAATTTTAGAAATGTAATTTAATATTTAAATATACATAATGAAAATTGCTCATTTAAATGTGCTTACTTAAATGACTATTTTTCTATATTCTGTTATTGTTATAAAAAAATTCCAGTGTTATTACATTTTTCTATATTAAGTGGTTCATGGTGTCTGCTTCATAACACAGTGAACATGCCTCAGGGATGTGTATTCTAGTTACACTTTGGTCCAGTATTACATGCAGATTGTAACATGTGAATTTCGTGCTCTTCTGCTGGTTCTACTGGAAATGAAAGTATATTATTCCCCTGTCTTATTGTTCTAGTGGTAACTCTGTCTTTCACTGGTTTGTAAGATGTATAATGCCCATTCAAATCTGTCCAGCTTATATTCAATAATTTCAATTGTTGAGTTATATTATGTATCTTTAAACTACCCAGGGCTTTCTGAGGATTGTTTTTGTACTCAAAAGGGACCCAAACTGCAAAGGGGGCATTTGTATTATTCCCCTGCCCTGACCACCCATTGAAGGCAATTACTTCTTTAATGAATGAGGCTCTTGGATCTATACGTCTTAAAAATCTGTTGACGTATTTCTGGCCCCGATCAGTTCCAACATTGCAAGCATAGAACTTAACTTCCACTCTTTTGCCGACAGCACTAATACTGTTGTCTGAAAATAATTTCTGTACAATCCTGGCAAGGTCTTCTGGATTCTTTCCCCCAACTATCCATTGACTTCCATTTCCACTAAATCCACCATGATTGTTGATCTGTAGGTACAGCTCCTCAGCCTGTGAAATTGTATTACGAATAGCTTGTAATTTTGTTGGATCCACCACCTCCTCAAACCATATATATTTTGGGTTGGAAAGAAATTCCATGAATTTCCACACATTGCGATCATATATTGCTACTATATTATTCATGTTTAATAAATTCCTTTCTTCAAATTTGAAGGATAAATCATTTTCAAACAATATATCACTCTCATTCACGATGAGGTGTAAATTAACATTCGGTTCCTTCCCATACGTGTCACTGCCCATAATGTTAACTAAATCATTGGTGAAAGTCTGCTTCAGTGGGGTTAATGGAGCTTGGATTTTGACTTTGACACGCTTGTGAGGATGTTCTGATTCAGTAAGAACTTGTTTAAGTATCTTTGCCAGTTCTCCTGGCTTATTTCCACCTACTTTAAAAACTCCATTATTGTCTGGGCCTGATGGGGAGTTGATGAAAATGGTCACCATCGCAGCTTCTCTGATTTTCTGCTGAAACTCATTCTCTACACTTGTTGGAATCACCCAAGCCCTCCCGTCAAAGAATTCTAAAGACCCGGCATTATAGACAACTGCAACATTACTGGACCCTTTATTCTTTTGAATTTGAGCTTGCAAGGAAGACTTTTCACTCTGGTCTAAACCAACGTATAGTTTGACTTTCGTTACTCCTATGGCAATTTTTCGGTTTAGACACTCTCGTTCCTTTTCAAACTTTGTAATGTTTAGGAACCCATAGATACTCTGGGTGCAGTGTACAGGAAATACAGCTGTGATCAGCTGATTAGGAGTCTGCTGGAAAAGAGAACAGATATCTTTGGCTAACTTTGCTGAAGTACTGCAAGATTTAGATTTCTCTTCTGTTAAGTAGAGCACTTTCCTTCCAGGATTAGTAATGCTGTTGTTGAAACTCTGTATTTTAGCAACATCACTTACATTGGATAATGTGTTGCCTCTGAGCTCAAGGTAGTTCCAGGATTTATTTTCGTAAAGCATTATAACAGAATTGTTTTGAAATTTGTCAAAAATCGGTGAGTATGTTTTGCAAAACTCTGCTTTATCCTCGAGCAGAAGAAATACCCTAAGAGGAGGATCTCCCAGGCAGCCCTGCTGCAAGAGCAGCAGCAGCACCCAGGTGAGCAAGTGAACTCCTGGCTGTGATGCTGTCATGACCAGAGGTGTCCCAGCACTTCCAGTTCTGTCCTGAAAATAGAGGGGCTGTTACTGTCTGACAGGACCTACTTCTTCAGGGAATCTTTCCCCCCTCATTTCCATCCCATCGTTCAGTGACAATCTAATGTCATTTGTCCTATTTCAGAAGCCATCACACTCCCACTGCAGTAACCTTTTCCTCAGTAGCGACTGCAGATGCTTGACTACTCTCCAATGTCAGCTCAGTTCATGGTCAGTTAAGAAAGTAAGGTTGACTTTTCCAGCCCTGTTGGACACTTTGTAGCATTCTGTTGGAAAGCTTGTAAATTAAATCTGTAATAAAATGACCTTTTTCATTTCCTTCCATTACAAGTGGAGATCTCAGAAATCTATTCCAAGTGGCAAGAAACAATCAGGATAAACCTAGCTCATAAGCACCCGGGCAGGTTTCTTGGAACTTGGCCTCTGTTTTTGATAATTATCCATTTTTCATGTTGACAATGTCTTTGTTGTACATATCACTTGTGTGTCTCTTTTTATGGTAAAAACAGCAGCGCTGGGTTCAATTCTGGATCTGGGGTGTTGTCTCTTTGAGGGTAATCCAGTCTACCACATTTTAAAGACATGCTGCTAAATCAATTATTTCTGAGGAAAATGGTCCTGGTGTGTCAGTGTGCCTGGGATGAGCTGGATTGCTTGCCTGGACAGGCTCTGGCTCCCTGTGACCCCGAATTGGAAGAAGAGGTTAGGAAATGGGTTGTGGAAGATTTTAAGCTCTTAGATCCTTTTAGACTAACAAAACCTAGAGAAAGAGGATTTATTTAGATGAAGGCTGGCAGATCACAAGCTTCAAGGAGAGAGTTTATTTTTGTGAAAGTTTCAAATTGTGAGTCAAGTTCGGCAAATTCAGTATTTTTCTGAGGCTATCTGATTTTGAAGTCTATTTTAGAAGGGGGTTAAGCTAGGAAGTGGTATGTAAATATAAACATAAATCCTCTAGAATGGAATTTGGAAAAGAGAGAGAACTTTTAGAGAGAAATTTGAAGACCATACATTGGAAATCCTTAATAGTGTATTGTGGAACAGCAGTCAGTTTTAGATCGCTAGCCACCACTAGGGCGCCCACAGCTGTGTGAGAATTCTCCCTCCATGAGCTTAGTGACTGCTGTGCCTCTTAACAGAGACAACTATTGTCACGAATGTAATCCCTCCTTTTAAGGGCGCTCTGGCTCTTTTACATTTCAGTTGATCACATGCACCTGTCTCCTATCCTGCCCTTCCTTATTTGAGCCGGGTGCTCTCGCTACTCCGGTCTCTGCATTGAAGGACAGACGGAGGCCCACCTACCACCAAGTACCTGCAGCTTGAGGGCATGGGCCTCCTATCGGCGTCCTGACACCGCTGAGTCCGGGGCTTGGAGCGCCTGGCCTCATCATCCCCGTTCTTATTCCCTCTCCCTGCACCTGTCTGATCTACTTTTGTGGATCAACTTTGTGTATATTATGAGACTGGCTCTGCAACCTCACCCTTACAAGACTGAAATAAAAGATCCACAAGGACTCCCTCAGCTGGTCCTCTACTTCTCTCCAGAGAGGTGTTGATCAGAGACAGCTACAATAGTGACAGCCCTCCGTTACCGTATCTTGATTTGGGTTCAGTTCCAGATCTAGGGTGCTGTCTGTGTGGAGTTTGTAAGTTCTCCCTGTGTTTGCGTGGGTTTCACACAGTCCAAAGACATGCTGGCATGGTAATTGACTTCTGGGAATATTTTTCCCCTGGTATGTTTGTGTACGTCTGTTTCTGTGTCTGTGTGAGTCCCGTAAGGAACTGGTGTCCCATCCAGGGTGTACCCTGCCTTGTGCCCATTGCTCTGGGCTCCCCCACAACCCTGTATAACATGAAGCAGTTAGAAAATGGATGGATGGATATTAGGACAGAATAGCACCTGAAAGCTTTTTTTCCTGTTTTAGGAAGAATAGATTTCCTCAAAGATTTTTTTAATTGGTTTAGAATTGACATAAGGGGGTGGAAAGTAATTTTCTGGTGAATGAGCTTTTATATATGTAAAGGAAAAGTGTGGGTTAGACAGATGTCACCTTTATTGTGTGTGGCATGAAATTTCTGAAACAAGCAAAAAAAATAGTGAGCATAGACTCAAAGACTTTGATGTCAACCAGAGCCTGATGCCACACAGACAAGAGATAAGTGACAGAGGTGGTAGATCAGAGTAACAAGACGTTTTAACATTAACAGACTGACTATCATCTGCATGACAATGAAACTGAAGACCATGTTTGTGTATAATCTGGCCTAGAGGAAGCAAATAAATAATTAAAAGCAAAGGACCCAAGATTGAACCCTGAGGCACATCATGATTGATGAGGACCAAGGGAGTTAACAAGTAAGTAGTATTTGTCAGTAAAACTGTCTCAAAGTTAATATGCTCCATTCAATTGCACTCAGTCTAGATAATGTATCAAGTTGCCTTATATGAGTCGGCTTCATGACATCGTATGTAAATTGATACAGTAGTGAAATTTGCTTGCTCTAAAGCTTGTGCTTTATTGCAAAAAAATAGATTGTTTTAAAATAATATCCATTTGGGATAGGAGATGTGTATAGAAATTTGAAGTTTACAAGATTCAATTCGTAATATGAACTATATTTTCATTTCAGATAATGAACCAAAACTTGTTCTCCTATCAGGTGCCCTTCCTACCATGTCTGCCCCAGTTGCCCCCAGTGCAAAAGCAACTGATGAAAAGAAAAGGCAGTGAGAGGGTAATATTAGTCCTTAACACAAAAATAGACAAAACCTATCTTCATGACTTTTTTTCATAATTTTTAAGGCTTAATTTAAGATGTGCATTAAATGTTTTTTGACTATGAGAAATATTTCTATCTGATTCACAAACCTGCTTGTTTACAATGTAATAAGGCCGCAACACCTCACCAGAGGTTTTGTTGCATCGTTCTGAATCTGAGCTACGCATACTTGGAACTTTAGCCTACTTCACAACTTTGCGATGTAAATTGGAGGTTTTACACATGACTGTGTATTTGTACTTTCATTGTGGTTTGAGATGCGCTCATCAATGCCAATTCTTTGCAACCCTGAAATGTAAAAATAGTGTTGCAGTTCCTCTTTAACAGGCAGCTGTCTGTCAGACAGTCTCTCAGTAAAGAGCTAGGGGTGTGAGCTAGGCAACAAGAACTTGTTTTACAGCTGTGAAAAATATTTGTGAATTGATCTATATTAACAAAGCTGAATTCAGAAAGATCCAGTACAGAGGGATTGTCAATGGAAATATTAGGGCTCAAATAGTTGTCTGAATCAGCTATAAGACTGAGATTCAGGTAATTGTAGATTCAGAGCATCAGTCTCGAAAATAAAGAATTACTTAAGACAGAGGTCAAAGGGGGGGAGAAAGAGCACAAGGGGTTGTCAGGGGGTTTAATGAGCTTGTTAATAACAGAGAAGTACTTTATGATTTCCTAGTCTAGAGCTGATTATATCTGAGATACAAGAGGATCTGGCAGAAGCCAGGGCAGCTCTATAGACTTTCAGGTGTTCGTTAGAAGCCTGAGTGTGAAACAACAGGCCATTTTTTTACTTAAACACCTTGCAGTTAGTTCCAAGGAGCAAAATTCAGATGTTGTTTGTTTATTATAATCGCCCTATTTACCCTCTCTGTAGTAGTCGATAAGATAAAAAGACCTGATAAAATATGTGAAAGAATTTAAGAACACAGATGAACTGATTAACTGTATTGTGGAAGGCCAGGATGGCAGCTTCCATTTGGCTACAAAGGGTGTGCTTTTGTTGCAGCAAAAATCTCTTTGTAACTGTGAAAAACAGATGTGCAAATGCATGCTTTGTTTTAGCAACAATCTATAAAACAAGGTGTTTGTAAATCAAATAGGTGTACATATTTTTTCAGACTAAAGTGTCATATAAAATTTTCACATAATCTTGTTGCACCTGCATTTATTTTCTTCTTATTATGAAGATAAATGTATTCCACTGAAAACTTTTGACTCATTTCAGATGAAAACTAATTTGAGCTTTTCAGTTGTAGTGTGTGTAACTGTATTAGACTGTGTGATGGACCCGTCTGGTTTTGTGCAGCAAGGTGACCCTGCAGTATGAGCTTCTGCCTCACTGCTCTGGGGTTGTGGGTTTCACTCTGTTCAGGAGAGTCAGACAGACCCTGTGTTAGTAAATGTGATGCAGTGTCTTTAGCCTGAAGTTGCTTGACTGAAGAAGAGACACCTGGCCACAGGACTGAGGAGTCTCTCCCCTCAGCCCAGGGGCTGCGTCACTGGAGGAGTCCGGGGGACACTGGGAGACACTGGGGGGGCTGCTGAGCAGAGATTACAGGGCAGAAAAGCCTGGTTCACATTCACCGAAAAGTGTTCATGTGTGATCGGTGGAGAAGGGAGGCGTATCATCTCCCAAAACTAGTTTATTAACTCCGTTTGTGCATCAGAAAAAGAAAGATTCAATTAAAACTGTTTATGTTGTGAGGAAATAAAATATGAATTACCTGTCTGCACGGAGCTGTGTTGGTTACAAGAGGTCAGTCTTCAGGAACAAGATGCTCCTGCAAATAAATGAATGAATGAAACATCACATGAGTCTGAGTCCTCTGCATCCTTCAGTATGGAGCTTGTTACAGTTAAAAACAATCTTAGTGAAAAGTAAACTGAAAATTCAAAGAATAAAAGAAGGTTTGACCTATTAGACTTTCTTACAGAATCAGATCAATTACATACTGTAGAAACAGTATTTCAAAAAGTTATTCAAAAGGAACATCTCTCCTATACAAAATGCTAAATAATATTTTATGCTGTTCCAGAGCTTAAAACTAGATATTTTTGTGGAAACATATTAAGACAGATGCAAGTCAGTTACATTGAAAGTGTGAAATGATGTTTAACTTACCTTTCAGTCAGTAAGAGTTGGATAGTAACTCTGCATGTTGCTCTGTCTTTTATACATCAGCCCTTATCAAGACTGAGTCCATTTACATATATTCAGAATTTTCAGCACCTCTTTTGCCTGTCAGTGAGCTGGTCACATAGTCAGATATTGATCAGAGAAACACTTGGTCTTTTTAGACATTTCACATGCGGTCTGGAGTCATGATTATAACCTGAGTTTCTTCAGTTTGTTCTAGGTGTTCCATGAAATATTGCGATTTTTTTCTTGTGTTACATTGTTTTTGTAAACTTTTAGTGCTTGTACACACCCGGGGGTCACACCCAAAGAAGGCTCCACAGCCTAAACAGTGTTTCTTTTCTTCTCTCTTCAGCATGGAATGAACTTTTACTTGTTCCAATAAAGTTTAATACAAATAGCATCATCGTTTCTCTGTACAAGTTTGTTTCTGAAAAGTTCGATCTTCACAAAGCTCAATTGTACCAGATGGTTTTAATTTTCATCCAGTCTTAGTCTATAGGAATCTATTTTCTTTTGCATAAGAAATAATAAATGTATCAAACAATGAACAAGAGCTGTAATAATGTAGAATAGAATATTTTTCTAACACCTCATCCAATTCAGGGTCACAGGGGTGCCAGAGTCTATCCCAGCAAGCAACAGGTGCAAGGCGGGGTACAGCCTGTTCATCACAGGGCAGACAGACACACCAGGGCCAATTTTCCCAGAAGCCAATTAACCCACCAGTCTGCCTCCGGACTGTGGGAGGAAACTGGAGCACCCAGAGGAATCCCACGTGAACATGGGAAGAACCTATAAACCATCATCGGAATTGGGGACCACCCCAGTAATTGAACCCGGAGTCCCAGCACTCTGAGGCACCAGTGATAACCATGCTGCCCGTGAAAATTCTAATTATTCCAACAGGTTACGATTATTGGATGATTTTGATTAAGCTAATATTGCGTTATAATGTGGTTTTCAAATAAAGACATGCTGTTAATATTGATCAGTCGAGTTTGGTCTACTTTATCAAAAGCAGCTTAAACAAACGGAGATATAACATATAGAACAAGCCTTTGCTTTCACCTCTCATTCAAAGGAAGAAACACAAAGATGCTCAGTTATTGTGTGTGGCACAATGAGAGTCAGTAGCAGAATCGAAACATAAACGAAAAGCCCCCGGTAATCAACATTTTAACAGCTCCCCTTCCTTGCCTGTGGGTTAAAGGCCTTTACCATGAATGTTTTTTAGATACTTAGCAGGACTCATAAGGTTTTTTCATGGACACTAACCATGTGTGATACAGACTCAATATTGAAACGAACTAGAAATACAAGTTTTGTTCTGTTCTGTTCCACTGCGGTGACACTGACCACAGTTCTGTTCCACTGCAGTGACACTGACCATAGTTCTGTTCCACTGCGGTGACACTGACCATAGTTTCCAAACATATAAAACCAAACATTTAGTTCATACAGTAGTGCAAGAAACAGGAATCTCTTATTCAGTCATAGATATAGTGGAGTCACTGAAGTGAGTACAGATTACAGTAAAATCTGTTAGATGTTTTTCAACAAATATGTCAGTTAAATATTGCTCCAAAATGTTAAGACATGTGGTATAGTAATGAAAAAAAAGAAATCATGTATTTACTTTAGCATATTGTTCTATACTCAATAGTTATCATATTACAGTAATGACCTTCTTGATTTACAAACAGTACGGTTAATTTTTCTGGGATTCACTGTAAGTAAAAAAATACTTACAAATGAATATTGTTCACAGTTTTGCAGTTATCTAAAAAATACACTTTATATTATAAACATTGTACATTATAGCTCCTCTCCTACCTAAGTACAAAACAATTCATACAGTACCACACTTTATCTAGGTGTACCAGGTTTGGTTTATGCAAAGTATGTTTCACAGTGTTTCAGAACTGGCCACAGGCTTCAGAAGATCTGCCACCTGGGCCTTAATATCATAGATCGTCAATGAGCCAATGTTAAACTTCTTCATCAACACATTGCAGTTATCTTCTCTTTCAAGGAGCTTTATGAAGACCAGGTTTTGGGTAATAGCTGTAGTGATCTGGAAGGGAGGAAGGAGGAAGGTGAGTGAGGACGTGTGTCATGAGTGTGATCTCTTTCACCATCAGTGTAAATGCTTATACTGCACACTTTTATGGATGAAAAACGAATATTAGCCAAAGCTGCAAAGAAAAACAAACCAAAATATGTTGATTATATAAATATTCACCCCCCTGAGCTACTCCTTGGTGGAAACATGTTTGGCTACAATACAGCAGCTTGTTCTAGAGTTACAGTTGTAGAGATAGATAGAAAAGTCTCAATCAACTCTACACAATGGAATGGTGCAATTTCACCCTTTCTTCCTCACAAACTTCCTCAAGATCTGTCATATGGGTTGGGGATCATTGATGGACAGCAATTTTCAGGTCTTTCTTTCTACAAAGCACTGTACATGCATGTACTTGTTATATTTATAATATTCAATGATAACACTCTACTCTGTATCGCCTAGTAGACTATGATCTCAATCCACCTTAGACCAAAGAAAAATAAACCAGGTCAGATTAACATTCACTCTTTAATCTAAGGAATATGCTTCATTTCTGTCATACAGTAGGTGAAGTTTTTATGAGGCTGAATCTCTATTCCTTTAGTGCAATGTGGTGTTTTCTCGGAACACAAGAAAATAAAAAGCTACAGTGAAATGAAAAGAGGTCATTCAGGTCGTCTAAAATGTTTTGTAATTTGAAGTTATCTGGCCCAGAGTAACTTAATTCAAATGTTTCCTGAAAGAAGCCAGACTGACGTCTTTAACAACCCGGCTGAGTAGTTTGTTCCAGACTCCCACAACCCTTTGGGTAAAGGAGTGCCTCCTGCTGTGGTTTTAAATGCACATATTTGTCTCTTTGGCTCTCTGGTTAATGTTTCACTGTTAATAGTGAAGAAATCTGCTGAATGACTTTGTTGAAGGCTTTGAGGATTTTGAATACTTTAATAAAGACCCCTCAGGTTTACTGTTTCTTCTTTCAAGTTCAATTATTGATGAAAAAGAGACATTTGGGGGTAACATAGTCCAGTAAAATATAATATTAATGACATAATCTTGTCTGTGTCTGTGCTTATCTCTGAAAAGTTCATTTTGATTATCTTCTCAAACACAATTGTTTGGGGTGGTTATAATTTTCATCTATTAAGAATATAAACTTCTTAGTCTATAGATCTTCTTTTCCAAACTTAAATAATAATGGATGTACATCAACCATCAAACAATGAACAAGAGCTTTAATAAGTAAAAGAAATAATAAAATGTATTAAATTCTATTTTATTTAGAAAATACATTTAACCACATTACAGAGAAACTGAGCCTCAACACATTGAAAGTATATAGAAGCAATTGTCCCTCTTGGTTACTTTAGTATCACTGTTCATTGAATATTCTTCTTATTGTATAATTTCCATAAAGCTAATACCACCTTTTAATGTGGTTTTCAAACAAAGTACAGTGTTCTGCTGTTAATATTTATCGGTCAGTTTTGGTCTATTTTATCAAAAGCAGCTCACACTAGTTTGTACAAGATAACTTACAATAAACCCTCTCTTTCACCTCTCTTTCACAGGCTGCAGCACAAAGAAGTGGGAGGGGGGGGGATACTTTAACAAGGCACTGTATACAGGGGCAGATTAGAGTAGGGGTTAGGATCTCACTAGTATTCCCAGTCTATTGAATGCTACAGAAACTGGGAGTAATGAACCTTTATGTTTGACTATGGATTTTACTTAAATGCACAAAGATCCATCCCTCCATGTAAGATCAGAAAGCTTTTTATTCCTGGTAAAATGTCAAGGAAACCTGGTGCCTTCTGTGTACAAGGACTGAAGAGCTACAAATTTACAAAGCTACAATTTTTTCATACAACACCTAGAATATACTGAATGACAGACCATAGCTGAAACATAGACTAAGAACCCCTAGAAATCAACACATTGTCTTAACTGCAGCCCTTCCCTGCCTCTGCTTTAATCACTTTTACTGTGAACATTCAGTACAATAGATCTGTAGCAGGATCCATAAAGCTTTCCATGAACTTGTGTATTCAGCCTCTTTGTTTTTATTAACAGTGTACATTTCATGAATTCTCTTAAATGTAAAATAATTCTTCCCCATTTTTGTCCTAAATTAGATTCTGAAATCTTTTATTGCACTGGAAAACTCTTGAATTGGATCTTTTTAATTGTTTTACACTGGTAACCGATATAAGATTTCAGGTTCTGATATCTCTATGTTTAACCTTCATTTCAGGAGCTGCACAGAATCACCTCTAGAGAAGAAAAATGTATTGACCAGCTTTTTAGCAACTCTGAAAAGGCTTTCAGAGACAAGGGGGTTTATTTCAGTTCCAACAAAAAGGAGTTTAATGCCCTTTAGTTTAGAGTGGGTGTGTTAGTTACTAGGGGAGGGATAGAAAAGGGGGATCGAGAGATCTTTTTTCTATTAAAATAAACTTTAATGCACAATAAACCTCTTACAGTAAGTACACACTCTCACAAGTCATGATAACTCTACTATATTACAAAAGTTCATACATGTGCGCTTGAACTTCGTAGGCTAATTCTTCAATGAAGAATTAAAAAAAAAATCCCAGTTTAATCCATTGCCCAGGCTTGTCTGGGAACCCGCAGCCTTTCTCCGGCGACCAGTTGCCCCCTTGCCCTGTTGTACGGGGCTCCGTGGATGGTGCAGAGCTCTGGTTACCTCGTGGCCTCGTACTTCTACTTGTCAGCGTGGGTGTAGAACTCAGGTCGCTTTTCTGCTTTTGGTCCAGTGTTTGTCCACTGGATCGGGTGCCTCATCGGGACAGAGAGCCACAGCCTCACAAAGTCCTGGTACCTGTGGTTGATCGGCTCCTGCAGCACCTGACAGAAGTTGCAGAAGAGGAAGCAGTCGAGTTTCAAGGTGAAATGCGACACGTCTCTCCTGCCTTCCTTGACTGGCTGACACATCTGGTTTCTTGTGATGTACACATACCTGCCTCCTCAGACGAAGTTGAAGACCATCCCCTGCAGCGCTTGTCTGAGTCTGGCCAGCAGCAGGTACACCACTGCCAGGTAAACCCAAGCCGGCAGGATGTCTGCTTTCAACACCATCACCTTCCCCGTGAGGGACAGCAACCGTGTCTTCCACAGACCCAGTTTCGTGCTCACCTTGGTGATCCTCTTGGTCCAGTTTATGGTCTTGTTGTCCTGGCTCTGGAACGAAACCCCCAATATCTTGAGGGGCTCCTTGCGGAGCTCAAGACCTTTCTGGCACTATTGTCCTGTCCTTCCGGGGTCCGAAGAGCTTGAGTTTCCTCTTTTGCTGATTGAGCTTCGATCCCGAGGCATGGAAGTGTTGCTTCATGACCTGCAGTCCGAGCTAAGGAAAAGTTTCGTGTCGTCTGTGTACTTGAGGGTTTCCTCTGCGTCTCCTGGTACCGCCAGGCCATCAATGACAGGGTCCTGTCTCACTGCCTTCGCTAAGGGCTCTGTTAAGAGTGAATAGAAAAGGAGCAAAAGAGGACACCCTTGTCGTACTCCGAACTCCTGGGTAATTAAATCCCCCAGATGTCGTTGAAATTGCTGCCCACTTCAGAGTACAGTATCTTCAACCAGCCGCTGAAACTCTCCGAAACCGAAGCGTTCCAGCACTCTGAACAGATAGCTGTGGTTTACTCTGTCGAAGGCCTTCTCCTGATCCAGGCTCACCACCATTATGGGCACGGTCCGGTCCTCGGCCCGGGCGATGGTGTCCCTGGTGAGCTGGAGGTTACAGCTGATGGATAGCCCTTCCACCCCACACGCCCGCAGGGTGGTCCTCAGTCTGCTGGCCAGGAGCTCTTGACATCCACCCAGAGCATCATCATTATCGGCCCCCAGTTCTGGAGGTCTACAGCATCAGAGAGACAAGGCGACTGCAGAGCTCCTCTCTGGGCAATGCAGGCATGACAGCAATGTTTGTTTAGATTACTGGACCCTGAGCGCCTATACACATTTCTGGAGATTCTGGGTTCTGGATTCATGTTGCTGGATAAATAATGCAGCGCTCTACAACCGTACTGACACAGTAAAGTGAAAAAATGTGTTTGAAAGAACTGTAAATGTCTATAATTTGGTGGTAGATCTCTCTGAGGCAAAATCTGCATGTGATCATTTGAGCTCATCCAACTCATAATCTAATTATTTGACTTGTTTCCTAAACCATTGGTTTGTTTTTGGACATAAAATACTTTTAATTCTTACCTAATCTTGAGGTGTTCTGTCTATTTTTTTTTACCTGTAAAATGCATGCTCAGTTGAATCAATTTCTTATTAGAGTTCTTATTGCCTTGTTAACTTGTTAACACATGGTGAAGGAGGCGCTGTGTAAGAGCAAGCTATATTTATTTTGGGGGTTATTTTGCACTTTCATTTAATTTCAGTCCTTTTGTCACATCCTACAGAAAAAAAACTTGGTTTTACTCTGTAAAATTATTTGAATCCTGAACGCATGTTCGGGAATGTTTATCCCAGCCTTCTAAATGAACAACTGTCAGAAAGTAACCACAGTATAATAACCAAGAAAGATAAAATGCAAGTATCATTGTACTGGTGCAATGTACCAAGACAGCATTCACAGAAATGATATACCCTGTATCAGACCATTTACAAAGTAGCTCCAGTTCTAGAAATTGCTGCCACATTAAAATGACCGTGAATAGCACTGAGAGATACTGCCACACAGACCATATTGTACCTGTGCTCCACTGTAGTTTCTGTTTTAACACATTTGGGAATCTGAAAATATCACAATGGGGCTTCTGTTATGTTTCTACAATATACTGCTACACATGAAGGGTTACAAAAGTGGTGAAAATCAGGAATAGACCAAGTGCTTTATTCAATACATGAAATAAATATTCTTAACCCCCAACTTGTAAATGATTTATACATAATATACTCAAATTGTTTGTATAATTAGAGGCACGTGAATTCTTTATTCTGTGGCACAGCTTTGGTGTAAAGAGTAATAACCCAGGCATACTTGGTTAAACAAATAGTTTTTAA